GCCCACTGGCAGATATGTGTTGACGTTTTAACCCTAAACTCACTTCATTTTGATAAATTTCTCAAAAAAAAAAACATAACTTATCTTATGTCATTTTGCAAGTAAATGTATCTTGATTTAAGAGTTTTGGGACATTTGCACTGGAAAACAAGACAAAAATACTGAGGAAGAGCATCCCTTTTTGAAGTACGATTAGAAGGCAGAGTAAACGTTATTTCAGTTTTTTTTTTTTGTAAAATGAATTAAAAAGTAATGAAGATCAGTTGCAAGTAATATTTTACAATTTTGAAGTGTTGCTAATACAAGACATTTACATTTAGAGACCGTATTGACATACTGTGTTCAATTAAATGTATTCCTAACATTTTCTTTACTTGGTCTTAAAAAGGCTTTAAAAGTCTTACATTTACCTTCATAAACCTGCAGAAACCTTAATTTCATCAAGTGAAGTCAGTTTTATTTGTTTAGCTGAGTAAAAACATATTCCATCACTTAGCTACCTGAAGTATATAATTATGGTCACATTATTAATCAATTATAACAATAGAAGCCCCAAGACAGAGCCTTGTGGCACTCCATACTACAATATTACACTTATGCAGAATGTCATGATCTATGGCATCTGTATTATGGCAAGCCCTATATTGTGACCAAAAAAAAAAATTGTAATAATTGGTTGGACAATTTGTTTTCTAGTATTTAGTTTTTTTAGTTTTTTTTTAGGGACCAGGGTTTTTCAGTTTTTAATCAGGTTCAAGTTGGCGAAATGAACTATTGAGCAAGGACCCCCTGTTAAATAATATAATATTGAGTGTTGCATTGTTGGCATTCCTTCATTCAGTCAGTCGTAGGCCAACCTCATAGTGTAGCCTTAAATTTGATGCGGGCAGCAACAGGAAGCCAGTGGAGTGAGAGCAAAAGAGGGACATTTATAGTTTATACTAGTAAAATATTATTTAATTTACATATTTTCTTAAATGATGCTTACATGGAACTGCCATTGGGATTTATACCTGATAGCAAATGTGCCACAAAAAATAAATATATACTTTTAAGTTGTGATTTAAGACATAAATGATCTGCTCCCTTCTTGGTTACGAGGTTAAGCCTGGTTTATACTTGACGTCAGCAGTTGTACTATTGAAGCTTTGCTTTACCTGCTGCACGATTGCTTATATTAAGAACAACAGCATTCTTGCTCATGCAATATTGCTTAAATATATTGGCTGGAATACATGTTTGCATTCGATGTTCTCCGATTACCTGTGCAGTTCTGAACTCATAGGGAAATGTGTTTCATTGTCCATGTTGGAATAGGTCGGCTCTTCCTGCTGCAATGTTCTCACGAAGCAATGTCAGTATGTGGAGTGTTCTCAAAAAATGCATTGGGATGGTAAGTCAAATATGCTTATATATGCATAAATACGTTTGTATCGCAAGCATGCCAAATTCATTCTCCGGGTTTGTAAAGTGGAAATTTGCTTCTGACATTTCTGAACTGACTTTGAATAACAACACTACTGTCTTCAGGAGAGCTGCTTGAACCGAACTTGTTTAATAACTGATCAACATGGCACAGTTATTAAACTGACCTGATGAACTATACAAAACAATCTGCATTCTTAAGTGTTATAGAATAAAGGTGACTTGAGTTCTGATGCGAAGCAGTCTGTTAATCAATTATTCTCATTTTTAACTCTTCACAGGAACTGTCTAAAATCACAATGCCAGTGATTTTTAATGAGCCTTTGAGTTTTCTTCAGAGATTGACTGAATACATGGAGCACACATACCTCATCCACAAGGCCAGCACTTCACAAGACTCCATCCACAGAATGAAGGTAAATATATTTTTATTTTTTTAGCCCAAGAAACCCTTGCTGAATAGAGAAATAGAGCATGGACCTACTGAGTAAAGCAGTGTTGAATTTAAGCCTGGCCTATATTAAAATGCATATGGTACAATTAATGTATTCTGGGATGATGTTTGTATTACAAAGCCATTGAAATGATTATGGTGGTGTACAGAATTTTGATTTTACTCATGTTTTTAAATGGGAGAGGCCATGAAAATTAGTTGAATTTCAGTTTCTTCACTTCAGCTTTGATTAAATTGAAGTTAAATCACTATTTTTAATGCAGATTAATTTTTGGTGGTACAATTACATTTCTCATAAAAATGTCTTAATGTCTGAATTAATCTATGTTTTGCATTTAATTACCTTGAGCATAAGTATGCATTGTGTACATTTTATGTAATCCTATTTAAATACAATGCACTTTTTTTTTAGTAGTGAATATAATCAATGAAATATTAGGAAAACACAATAAATTTTTCACAATTTACAAACACAGAAAATACATTTTGATTATAAGCAATATAATTATACTCAATAAACCTGAAATGGCGCTGCAGCCAAATGAAGAGTAAAATATAAACTGAAGTATAACTATAAGGTTGTTCAAACTTACTGTAAAAATTAATATTCATGAAACAGACTCTTACAGTTACATGAATTTGTTTATCACTCAAACACAACCACAGCCAAAACTCTATGTACCTACAGGCCAACTTGCACATTTACAAACCCTTTTCAAAACTGTTAAACTTAAGTTCAAAACCTGACATAATATACAGTAATGTGTTACATTTCTATAGTAATACTGTACTGAAATATAGTCTAAATCAAAAAAAAAATTAAATGCTATCAAAACATTCAGATGTAACTGAACACATACATAGATGCTAGTCTTTCAATTTCATTACCGTCTACACAAAAGGGGAAACATAGGAATAATTTTGTGCTATAATGTAAACATGGAGCATGTAACATTTACATCAGTGCATCTAAGCAGTGGAGAGTGTTCTTGTTTTATAAAATTAAACAGAAAAATCATTGTATAATGCTAATGTTAGTGTTTCTAGGTCATTGTTTTATGAGTGATTGTTGGGGGAATACCTTTGCTAGGTGTTACGGAAGAATGAGATTTTGGTAGTTTTAGTGCATTTTGAAAGTGAAATGCACTGCTGTGCCAAGATTAAAGTTGGTTAGGAGAACTGTGTGAAGAGTTTTGAAAAAGTGACCTAAGTATTAAGACGTGATTATAAAAAAATTAAGTGTCATTCGCTCATTTATGTCATTTTTAATGCAAATATGACATTATTTGACCTAACCCTACCCCTAGTTCAGATGGGTCTCTGAGCAGGTCAGTCATCATCCGCCGGTCAGTGCCTTCCACGCCGAGGGCATAAAGAGCGACTTCAGGTTTCATGGCTCCATTTATCCGAAACTGAAATTCTGGGGAAAGAGTGTGGAGGCCGAACCGCGTGGAATCATCACCTTAGAGCTTCCTCTGTGAGTTCTTTACAGCCAGTAAACATGCATGTGTTATTCCACATGTCCCACATCTTACATGTAAATTCAGCTATGTGATCGACTTGTGCTTTTCAGCCACAATGAAGCCTACACCTGGACCAACCCGACCTGCTGTGTTCATAACATTATCATGGGACAACTGTGGATTGAGCAATATGGAAATGTTGAAATTATTAATCATAAGTAAGAGCAAGTGTATCGTCCTCTGATTTGACATAAACAAGGGTGTAGATTAGATCATTGTTGCTTTATTAAGCTTGGAGAAGAACAACTACTGTGAAAGACGGAGAAAAATCCATAAATTACTTTACTGTGCTTTTTAACAGAACTGGGGAAAGATGTTGTTTGACTTTCAAACCGTGTGGAATATTTGGAAAAGAGTTGCATAAAGTGGAAGGATACATACTTGATAAAAGGTATGTAGACATTACTAAAATGACAAATGTTATTTCTGTCCCAGGGACCCAAATAAGCTGATTCAATTTTACTGTAGTGTGGTGTAGTGCAGTATGTGAAGCTCTAATTTGATTGGATATGTAGTGTTCCAAGAGGGTTGATATTTCATATAACAACACAAGAGCAATTAACTTTTTTTGATTGTGCATTTTAGACATTCTACTAACTATAAGTAATTTTGCAACTACGTGTCAAATAGCAGTCATTAGAGTATCCTGTCTGCTTAATAGTTTAGCCATTACTTTATGTATCACTTTGCTTATCTGTGTTCACTGCACCATTTTTGTTTTTATAAAACCAATATCATTTTCACAATTGCACAGTTGTACTGTAAATGTTATACAGTATGTAGTAGCCGTGCCAGTATTCATTACAACAGCATGATTGCATAATCATACTGATTTGACTTGAGCTAGTATTGGTATGTGACCGTGGCGCACAAAACCAGTCATAAGGGTCAATTTTTCGAAATTGAGATTTATACAAAAGCTGAAAGCTGAATGAATAAGCTTTCCATTGATGTGTGGTTTTGTTAGGATCGGACAATATTTGGCCGAGATACAACTATGGTAGGAGATTTACTAAATATCTTCATGGAACATGCTCTTTACTTAATACCCTAATGATTTTTGGCATAAAAGAAAAATCTATAATTTTGACCCATACAATGTTTTTAGCTATTGTTACAAATATACCCCAGCGACTGAAGACTCCAGGGTCACAAATTAGCTTTGACTAAACTGTTATGAACGTTGTTCTTTTCTTTGTCTGTCCAGTAAAAGAAAGATCTGTGCTCTGTATGGCAAGTGGACGGAGTGCTTGTATGCTGTGGATCCAGCGATATTTGATGCTCACAGAAAATCTGACACAAAGCGCTCTGAGAAGGACAGGAAGGGAAGCACACAGGTGACGGCTGAGATAATGATCAGATCACCAACACACTTCATTTGATTTGGTGTATTTAATGGCAATATTGCTGACATACAGAACTGGTGTCTCTTCTAGAGTAATAATGCGGATGAAATGCCTCCTCCAGAAGCCGAGACCGTGCAGGTGATTCCAGGAAGTGAGCTGATCTGGAGGATATCACCGCGACCAGACAACTCCGGGAAAGTATGCGGAATATTTCAGCATTTATCGTCACACACTCTTGTTCTAATGATGTGATTCATTACCAAACATGATATAATTATCATTTTAGCATTAAATATCATTTGGGCTGGAGATGCCAAGTATGCCAAGCAGTAGCCAAGTATGTGGAAGTGACTGCAGTGATCGCTAATAATGTAACATTTTACTGAATTAGAATCTGAACTCCAAATCATTTTCGGAATTAGAATCAGTTAGTGCCTCTGATTCCTTGAGATTGATTTCTAGTTTGAGGGCCCTATTAGAGGGGTTTTGTATTGCCTATGGCACACACATATATATTTAAGTGTAAATTAACATTTGATCCACTCT